CATTTATTAAGACGGAGCTGTCATGTGATTCCAGGGAAATTCAGGCACGTCAAAGAGCAGATGTATGGAAGAATGGTATTATTTTTCGCAGATTTTCTTCTTAAACCCTAAGGTTGACTGGTAGAGAATGCCATATGGCATTAAGTCCGCCTTATGTGCCATAATAAAATTGTGTACATTAAAGATTAAATAAATAAATAAATAAATTGTATGACTGCGCAGTAGAAGCACGAATTCTGGATTTGTGATCGGTGATTATAGACTCGATTACGTAAAGTAATTTGTCAGTATTCTAATTAGTAACAACATTAACATACCATCATGCCTTTTCATCCCCGAAGAGGTGGATAGAGGTGCACATTATGGTATTTAACCTGTGAAGTGTCGGAATACAGATCTACGCGAGACACAATGTGTTTTTTATTGTGTCTCATATCGACAGATAAGAGATTAGTGCCACTGTACAATGTAACACCCACTTTTCACTATTTATGTTATATGTCCCATGTCATAGTGGGTAAGCTTATTGCCATATACCGGGCACAATTCCAAACTCCGTGCTCCTACTGAGATTTTTTTTAAAAACCCAGTATTACTTGCTAGTGACCAGCTGTCGCACTTGCTACCACTCGGCTAAAGAGGCAGTCAATTAGAAATAAACTTTTAAGTAACATACCTTATGTTATGTCCGCACCTTTACTCAGGAAAGAGGCAATCATTTACAATAAATTATTTCATGTATAAATCAACACATAACGAAATTATAACATGTCATACTCGTTAATTCCTCGTCCATAAGTTCTAGTCACATTCCATAAAAACAAAAGTCATGAGAAGTGATAATGGATAGATAACACCGGAGGCTATATTTAACAACAACATTAAGATCGTGGGCCGAATGATAAGCTCACAAAAGATTAACTTTCACTTGTTTTCCAACTTCACCCAGATTCGGTTCGTTTGCTAATGCTACCTACTGAAAGTAAAATTAATTTATCGTTTTTCTTATCTCGCTACTATTATCCTTTTTCTGAATAGCTCCCAAAGAAAGTCTTTTAATCATCACGGCTTAGGATTTCCCATTCCAGGTTCTTATTCACGAAACTTCTTCCTTCGAAACTCGATCTTATTTGGGCCATCGAAGTTCCAAACGAGAAAACTGGACAATGAAACCTATTGTGTGAAGTTGGATAGTGAGGTAATGCTCCATAAACCACACCGATTCTTAATCCGAAGTTGTGAAATAACAATTTTCTATATTGATAGTGGGAACACAATAAAATCGTGGACATAATGTCGGTCCTGTCCAATACACTTAACTTTATGGAAGTAAGAAGGAACTTCGTAACATTATCATGAAAGGAATCCGGATTGTTGTTTTAACTTCTACGAGATTCAGCACTCACGTATATTAAAACAAAGAATAAAAGTTTACAAACAAGAACGTTCGTAAAACCATGATCGGTGTTGCCGTCAGAAAAACGAAAAAAAGCAATAAATAAAAGTGATTTTGTAACGGAAATGCGTAGTTGTGTGTGACGCTTGTCAAAGGGCGGTCGTGTCTAACTCCCGGACACATCGGTTAGGGAAGACAGATTCGTCTTCAAGATGGATCGTTGAACATTCGAACAGTGATGTGGATGCCGTTCGTAGAACATATTATTTCGATTTGATCAAATTATTTACGTGTACGAGTAGATTAATGAACGATGGAGGTGTGCGAGCGAATGTGATAATGATAGACTTACGTCCTGTAGATAATATGACTGAAGTGCGAACGCGATGTTATGAACGCTTAAAGTATTTGCAAAGATACTATATGTAGTAGTATATGTAGTTGCTGCACAAAGTTTGATTATGCCGTTGCAATTGCAAACATTGAAAGGTCCCTGCAGAAACATTTTTGTATTACAATTGTAGTTAAAGATGACTAACTAATGTCTTTCTCATTAGAATAATGCTGGTAGGTATTGTTAATTGAAATCACAATGAAAACAAACAACTTGTGTTGGATGCACCGAACATTGTTTTAATTGGACCACTGGCCCCTTTTCACTAATTAACGAGTGTCAAGCAATCTGTGTTCATACATCTACTCAAATACTAGATCAACGACGATCAAACAACGTTACATCATAGAGACCAAGCGCGTCTATTTTTGATCGCCGGCCTCAGCTGCAATTACCTGAACCTACCTAGATAATGTGATGACAACTCATTCACTCTCATCTTAAGTAAGTATCACGGGCATTTCTTTTTACTTCCTCAATAAAATTGTTACGAAATTGGCTACCTCAACCTGTACGGGAATGGTACCCAATTTTCTGCAACATCAATTTGTGTTTTAGTATCCTAATCAAAATTAAGTTCTGGGACAAAAAATATTGAGAAAGACCAAATCTGGAGATTCCTAATTTAGGTGATCGTTAAATTGAAAGTGCCTTGTAAATTCTTCTCTCTATTCAAAACAAACGGTAGATCATCTAGTAGTGTGTTTTTGGTGTTATAATTAATATAAGTTTAATCCAGCACGCCCTAAATGGCCGTTACCTCGATTTGATTGCCCTCTGCGGCTTTTAATTTATCCCGACAAGGTATAAATCGGTCCCCAACTCTGTCCTATTTTTAATGGAGTGTATCTGATGCGGTTCGTCCGTACCTCCCGCCATTTTTCAGGTTTAATTAAATAGTGTCTATTCCAATGGAGTTGTTGGGTTAATTTGTTTAGACGTCACTCCAACGTGACGGATACGGAATGAGATTCTAAAAATAAGCTATCATTGTTGAGCTGGATTAAATTAGGAGATTCACGTCCATTATAAAATTAAAAAGGGTTTTAAATTGTTGTTCGAGAAAGGGATTGGAATTCTATCTATTCTAAACAGCCACTTAGGCAGAGTCGTTTGTTGGTGATGCCCCTGGTACAGAACGCATTCCTGACGCAATTGTGTTGTTCGTGATGCATTTTATAGCGAATAAAAAAGAACGCAACCGATGCTTTGACGCGACGTATTTTTGGCACAAGAATCGCATTCACAGTCGTATGTTTTGGATGACTGCGGCTTTGGGGGATCGTTTAGCAATACGCTGGGGTAACAAAAAGCAGCATCGTTTGCGCGTTTTAGTCATATACATTCAAAGTAAGTGCTGGCAACAAAACATTTATGATTCCAAATGGATTCCCAGCTTTGTAGTACGAAATGTATGGCAGAACTTTACTTCTTTTAGGAGAAAATGTTGAGACGGAATCTGAATCAGTGTGTGAGCTTTTATTTATCATAATCTTTTCTGTTACTGACGTAACTGTCGTTGTTGTGAATGAAATGAATCACACTAGCTGCCATGAAATTTTCGTAAGATTATACTATTCCGTTGATTATCCGCAAGTATGTACACACAATTTCATTGTTCACTTTGGGATGCGTAATAGTGTTTGTTGGTTTTAAAATTCTATGTAAGTCGCTGCACGGAAGCTAATATAAAATCTAGTATGTAGCACTTCCTAGACTAGTCATCCTTTAGTTAAACTGGAAGTAGGTATTAATTCACATACGCCTACTTCAAGGATAAATAAGTACGAAGTATATTACTACGGGACTGTACTTCTTCAATCGTCTACAACTATTTCGGTTCACTGTTCAAATCGTATTTTAACGGGCCATCGTATAAATCTCCTCGAAGTCTTTTTACGATTCCAAATCGATACTTGTAGGAACTATCCCAACATGACGTTTTACACTTGTTTTATTTCTTGTTTTTGCAAAAAACATGCACTACAGCTGTCTTCAAAACAATATTATTTCATCCATCATTTTCTTCTTCACATTTTCCTAAAACATCATTAGTTCATTCAACCGGTTCGTTAATATAAATCACGAGTAACTCTCAATGAAAAATGGCGCCTCAATCTAAATTAAGATAACCCGTTGTTCAATTCTGATTTCACAATTCATTGCGTTTTTCCTACAGCAAAATTATAAATGTAGCTGCAGATACATCAATGATTCGACACGTAAACAATTTATCGTTAATCTGCTCGCAATATCCGCTGTTGGATTCGTCTGCTAGCTTTGACCTCGTATATATTGAGCATAGTTGGAACAACTATAGTGAATAGTGTTTCAAAATCAACGTCGTGCACTTGACTCAGGCGGGTTATATTTGGATCTCCCTTCCAAGCTTTCTTCACTTCATTTGCTCACACCTTTTGCAGTAACTGAACTTGTGCTCTCACTCAACCCTTTTTAGCATCTTCCTCCTGGTAGATATACTCAACATCTTTTCCAAAGCCCTGTGTTTGGTTAAGATTAAGAAATTACTTTTATTTGGTTTTATTGCCCTCAGGTAGACGATATTTATAGTTTTATTGGCGTTCCAAATATTTTTATTAACACGTCAAAATGTCGTTCACATTTTATTTAGCTGAGAGTCTCTGATCTTTGACCGAAATAAAGAAAAGTCCGTTAACGTGCGAACTTAATCATAATAATTTTCTTTCTATTCTTGTTATCTTTGAAACCTAATGAACGCCTGCCGACATCTGAGCTCGTTATCAATAATGTTTTAAACAAAATTAAATTAATGCGGCTCATTGAGTGCTAACGCCACTTCCTATACACGCGTCTATTTTCATAACATTAGTCCAAAAAACATCTAAGAATTCCATTTCGACACGAGAATTGCATCTAAATAAAAAAACAAATGTTGTGAGTTTATAAATAGCTAGATTTGTGGAACATCGGGCGCCTGTGTTATTATAGCGAAGAAATATAGGATAAGACGCGGATCTATGTATCTGTAGTTGGCCGAAATTATCGCGAGTCGCCGCGGCGCGCATCGTTGGCGAGTCGCACGCACAGCGTCCGCGGTGCGCCCGCGCCTCGACGCTTCCATATACTTATTTGTTTGTCTCTCCCGTTGTGATATAACATATACATGTTTACTTTATTATATGTGCGTGTTGTAATGTAATATATAGTATTATTCAACTATATAGTATTATTCAGTGTACGACATACCAAAGATCTGAAAAATTCTCAGGACTAAAATACAGATTACCTACGCGTGGTCAAAGTGTGCGGTTTTAGTCGTAATTTAGTTCTAATTAAAATACTAACGTTGCTCAAAGACGTATAGTGAACGGTGGAAGTTTTCAGTGCAATAAATTTATAATAAGTTTGATAGATATTATGTGTTAGTGTGTGTAATATTGTGTTAAAACATACGTTAGGACTGTCGTGCCAGAAGTACGCAAGTGGGTGTGAATATTTGTAAATGTTCTTTAAATAAGTGTTTATTTTTTTATTATAAAACATGGTCGCCATGCTGGAAGTCGCTGAGATGAGAAACAATGACTATTTTCGATCGTTTTTACCTGTAAGTTTATTTTCATTAAAATAGATACATAAGTAAGTATTCTAAGTACCTATCTATTAGTTCAAAGACCATTTAATTGTTGATAGATATTTCAAGTGGTGTCTAGTACCTAAATTGAATCCTTACAAGTACCTAGGAGTAAAATATCAAATTTTATATATAAATAACTATATTAATTCGTGTTACTTTTTTAACACTGGCCTCAAGATTAAGCCAAAACCAGGGCCCAACAATTGAAAGACAACCCAGATTCCAAAGATGAGGTGCTTTTGTTAATATAGTGCGAATTTGGTATGTGTTTATATCGATAGAAACTAGGTATCGAATTTAGTCAATAGTCAATATATGTACATTTGACCACACAACAATCACCCAAAGCAGAAGTGTTAATAATGATTTTTATTACAAAGGTTTGGTTTGGATTTGATATTATAGAATTGTCCTCATTTTCTGAGTTTTTTTCTAAATAAACTGGAACTTACTCTCATTCCAAAGTTACGTATGTTTTGTACGTAATACTATTTACACTGTGCTAATGAAATTTTAGTCTAGACTCGTCCCAAACACGCGCTGACCTAAACTCTGGCTGCTTCTAAACAAACCTTAGAAAAATATTTCTTTTTGTAAACCCGACTTTATTTTGTTTATTCCAATTTTTGGGAAAATCTTTATTGCCAATAAAATGTGTAGACAAGTGCCAATTAGATTATGTTTTTCATTGTTTATCTACTATATAAAAATAAGTCGGGTTTATAACTCCAGAACGCACGAACCGATGTCCACGGTTTCGCATTCGTTGGAAAGGTCTCGGGCTCCGTGATGTTTATAAAATATAAAACAAAAAAAATCCTCATCTTTTAATCACCGAACGAAATATTACATAAAACGATGCCATCTGGTGGCGAAACGGAGTTCGCCGGGGTTTGCTAGTTAGGTATAAGTAAGCATACCCCTTTTTGTGACATGTTTCTCTGTTTGTTGCATACCTTACTATTTATGCCTCTAACGATTCGAATGGTATATGTACTCAACTACCTTTTTTTGAACGACCTTGGCTTCTTTTCCATACTTTAACACGTTAACCGCCGTGTAGGTCACCGGTGACCTACGTTAGCGGAGGATTTGCCTTCGCAGTTTTCTGTCGACAGTTAAAAGCTTAACTACCGTTTACTTCAAACCGTGTTTCACTAACGCAAATATTGTTAAATCTGTCAATATAACACTCAATACAGATAAAATATCGCATAACGTCACATAATATGCCGCTTGAGATAAGCGTAGATACACTCTGTTGTGGTTCATTAATTAGTAATGAGCTTTGAAACAAAACAAACGTTATTAACCGTTGAATTTTGGCAAACAAATCCAGTTTCAATTATAGATTCCATTATTGGGTTTTGTGTATTGATCAGCAGGTCAAGCTGCTCTAATCTGTCAATATGTTTCATTGGAATTTAGACTTTATAACTTAATTCAATAAAGTTGAAAATGTAACATAATAGAAGGTAATAGGTTGATGTGCTGGTGTACAATACAGTTTGTAGGTCATTGTAGTCCCAATCTGTGTCCTGTAAGTATTTAGGGCATACCAATACTTCCCAATTGTCCTACCAATTTGGTGATTACAACAGCACTGCTTACCTTTTATTGAAATGAATTGGAATGTATACCTACGGCTTTGACGATAGGAACTAATGTTGACAGTCAGGTATCGGGGTCGACCTCTGTCTCAGAAACTTAAGTTGTTTAGTGTTTTGATTTAGAAATACATAACTAGGCATTGGATCGATTATTAAAAAATACGTTGTTAAGTGGTACTAAGGAATAAGGTCCAATTAATATCGAAACGTTAAATAATAGAACATTATTTTTCTAATATGTATACACAAAAATAATTTCCGCAAACGATACAATAACTTGATTGTTAGCCACGATGGATTTTTTTATTTTTCCTTGGATCGTATCACTATGATCTTTGACTTGCGATATAACAGAAATAATGAAAAAGAACTTCCGCTCTCAGTCCATAAACAATACAAATTCATAGTTATTCATAATATTTTTACATTTGACACAACGCCAAAGCAACGTCCTTGGCAAATTATACTTCTAGACAGCAGGGCGAGGTACTCACTCGCAGTGAACTTTCGTAACTAATATTTGGTACCTAGCTATTAATACTCCACCGTCCTTACTGCTCCGAGCGAGTTTTTACAAACTCCACGAAACGAGGACAAAGGAGACGTTCGAGTTTTAAATTACACTGTCCTCTTGTGTGACATAAAAGTAATTTAGTTTTTATCTCATTTCAGGCTGTCAACTCCCCACCGGTCCCTCACCGCGACATATCGGCACCAACGGCAACGTACCGTCCCTACACAGAAGAATATGCCACCGTCCAGCGCCGAGTTGAACGTCCCACCCAACCAGAAGAACCAGAACGAAAGAAAGACAAAAAATGGTCCATTGGAAAACTATTCAGAAGAAAGAAAAAAGAAGACGAAAGTGGTACATCTTCGGAAAGCGATGAAGGAGTGAGCACTCGCTCCCCATCGAAGAGAAAGTCCAAGAAAAAGAAGAAATCGGCTCCGGCTGTTAATAATTTTGACCACATAGTCATAAGGGATTCTAGAAGAGCACAAAGTTTAGCTAAACCTAACCTAAGAGATGTTACCGATGACGGTGTATTATCCGACCCTTCGGCCGGCTTCATCAATTACCGTGCTAAAACACAGGAAATGTACAGAGCATCCAAAGAATCCCTCAGCCTGAGAGAAGACCATTCTAATAGATCCTTAGGGCCATCCTTGGAGTCTACTTCTAGGAAAACACGAAAAGGTAGATTGAAAGCTAGAGTCGAAGCGCTAAGAAATAGTATGAGAGGAGAGTCAAGTAGTGAAGAAGAATCACTCAAGTCATCAAATTCATCATTGATGATTAGATTTAGAAGTGAGGATTCCCTAATGAGGTCACGCGACAGTTCACTAAACAAAAGATCAAGAAGTGCAAGAAATGAGAGGTATATTAAGAGATTATCGCGAGATGAAGAAAATCAACTGAATAAGGAAGCCGAGCTGTTACAGCAAGGTTATACGAAGGCTGAAGTTGAAATGTTGACGCGAACACCCACGAGTCAAAGCAGCGGCTATGGGACATGCAAACGCGATCAAACACAAAACATGAAAACTGAGCAACTTTATGCTAATGATGTTAACCGCCGTCCAATGAAATCCGAATCAATATCATCATTCCCTTCAACACAAAGTTATCCATCATCCATCAATTTTAACGCTAAAGTTAACAACGAACATATTAACTATTCCATACCAACCAGTAACATTAATAGAGATATGCTTTATGCTAATAATAATCGCGAGAGAAGCGTCAGTAACCAGTACGAGAATCCGGAGAACGTCATGTGTGTCAAATTTCCTCTCGGGAATGTCACAAACGTAAAAAGGGAGGAAAAGGCACCTCCTGTCCCGCCCCCTCGTGATATGCAACGAAAAGTCGCAACTCCTATATCCATGTATTATGAAAATAACCCCATGATAGCCGATAGAATAGCAAATACTCAACAAACTGTTTTACATGGTGTACCTAACAACGATTTCGAAAGAGTCATGAGGCGGAGTCAGGAAAGATCACTTAGTCATGGCTTTAACGGACTGCGCCGACCTATATCAAACTCTGAGGACCATATTGCAATGCAAAACAATGAATACATACAAAACTTCCAAATGAAGAATGAACAGCCTCGGAGACCTGCTTCAGTATCAGCAGAACCAAATCATTATGGCTTGTACGCTAATTCACCACCTTGGAGAAAGTCTGTTGGTCCTACTAACATTGTTAAGCCAGAACCAGTCCAATTGAGACATGATTATTTGTACTACGCTGATCAGAGCCCAAGGTCACGAAGACCCATTAGTGTTAAAACTAGTCAAAATGGTTATGAAAATCAATATCTTAGTGATTCTCAAACCTCCCAAAATGTCACTGAAAGTGTGTATCGTCGGCCACGTAACGCATCTGAGTTCTGGAAAAAGATTGACGACGCTGAAAGACAGAGAAGGCAGCAAAGTGTATACGCAAACTCACGAAGCAGTAGCGACTTTTCAAACTCTACACAACTGAGCAGAGTAGCTCCGTATTTAGAACAAAATAAACTAGGCCACGAAAACACAGACATTCAAAATAAAAACAAAAATCCATTTAAAACGTCTTCTGTTGACACAACAGACGGTGCCAAAGTTTGGAAGGCGACAACAGAGTACAAGCGTTCTGTTACAGTCGACCCACCAAAGACTGTGACATCACCAAGTTCAAAAACACATGTTAGACATAAATCTGACACCTATGTTCCCAGTGTTTATCAAATGCCATCAGACGATGAAAAGAGCTCAGAAAGGCGGAAATCTACTAACCTTGACGATGCTCTTAATGAATTAGAAGCTATCTATAACAGCTTAGGTTTAGGAGACGAAGATTTATTAGATAGAGCCGAACGTCGAGAGTTAATGACTCCGAAGTTCAACGACCATTTTAATGACTGGAATGGAAACGATGACGAGATTCAACTGCGAAGTCAGCCAACGACGCCTTTGAGACGTGTGCAAAGAAGGTCGACATTACCTGACAAGTTGCAAGATGATATGGCATTTAGACGAATGAATTCCTTAACGAAGGAAAAACCTAATTATAAAGATGCACAAGCACAAATAAGCTATATGTTGGCATCACCTGTTTACGTGCCCTATGCGTCTGACGATGACAGGCAGTCCGAACGAAACGAGCCCGATATAGTTTACGATGACGTTGTTTACAGAAATATAAAACAGACTAATAGTCGATTAAAGACTCTAGATCCTCAACCGCCTTTTGGCATACCAATAGGACCGGTTTCACCTGCCCCGCAAAGTGATTATCTTCACGCAACTCCTGAAAATAAGGGCCGATCACGATTTGTCCCAAGGAGATCACCAGATTTAGTTTCTGATGATTTAGCTTATAGAAGTCTAAGAAAGGACAATAGGCATTCTTCACATTTCAATGGTGAAGATTATACCGGTCTTATTAATAACAATCATTCTTATAATGAGTATTCTTACAATAAAGACACTGCCGCTAATCTTAAGAAGAAGAGAGCCGTTAGGTCTCTTTCCGCTAATATATTTACGATGATACAAAAAGAAATCGACGATGCACTGAACATGAGTAAAATGGCTACGTTACAGAAAACGCATAGTAATAGTGACGTCATGAAACGGCTTCGTAACACATTCGAAAGTAATGACAACGAGCAGGACCACTACCCGCGTAATAAGGTAAAGCAAAGACACAACACTGTCAGTCTATTCGTTAATAACACCCATGCACCCACCCATCATTTTGCAAAAGACGATTCATTCATTCATAGTGATGATAAGCATCTTGCTAAGCCACCATCATGTGATAAGTCCAAAAGCTCATCACCATCAAACAGATCTCCCCAAGCATCGAAACGTTCATCAAAGGACGAGTTTCAACAGGTTCTAAGTATGCTGGCCCAAGAAGCTATGGACACAAGTAACAAGTTAGGAGTAGCATTAGCAGAACTAGATAAAAATAGGAACAGTAATGAGAAGAAATCAGATGTTCAGAGTCGAATTTCTGATAGTCGGCAAACCTTTTTAAATGGATTAACATGTAAATCTTTGGAAGAGCCGGTGCCTGAAGTGAAGCTTGTTAATGTTCATTCTGAAGTTGTTACTGAACCAAAAGATGATAAACCAGTGACGTCCACATACATAAATGAAACCAATGAAGATTCCAAAGGTAAGAAAACTGAAGACAGTCTTCTAGCAATATCAGATCAGCTGCATAAAGTTGAAGATCAACTCAAACACAGTTTCGAAAAAGAGCTTAACTTCGAAGACGAAAGTTTAAAACTATCAAATTACATAACAAAAGCTGAAGAACAATTGAAGGCTCAAGAAACCACGGTTGTGATACCAGAGACTAAATTGATACCTGACGTTATCCCATTGACTATAAAAGAGGACGCGATAAAGATAGAAACGGTTACCGAAAAACAAGATGACATCGAACTGAAACCACCAATTATTAATTCACTAAATCCATTTTTAAATACTGACGACAAAATCAAAGAAATTAATGAAATAAACGCTTTTAAGGAATTGAAAGATGGAATATCTGATTTAATCGCTGGTATTTGTCAAGTAAATGAAAAGTTATTTACACAAAATAAAGGACCAAAATTGGATAATAGTAATACTAATCCAGAGAAGATATCTGGAATAACAGAAGCCACTGAAAAGTTGAACCAAGTGTCACAAAGTATATGTAGCCAAGAAGTTCCTAATAGGGCTTCCGTTAATCTTTCTATATACGAAGACGATTTAGAAACCAAAAAGGATACGGCTGCTGACTCAACAGAATATAATTCCTCGGAAGAACTGGCGACGATATTTCAGTTAGACAGTAGCGCTAAATCCCAGACTGTCAGCGAAAATCAGAACGGATCCGAAAATAAAATTCGTAATGAGTTAAGTTCGCCCAAATTGGTTCAGACTATGAATCAGCAGCTAAGAAGGTTGTCTGTAGACCAGACGGATGATTGTGCTCCTAGTCAAAGCAACTCACTGCCGACGAACGTGGTTCCCTGGAGAATTAAGAGGCAAACTAACAATTCACAAAAAGAAAATCGAGGTACGTGGTCCATTCTCATGCATGGTGTATGGGTTTCACTGTAATCATTTGCATCTTGCTTTTTGTTATCATTTTGTGTTTCACGACCCCGTTTTTTAGTTGCCTGTACTAACTAGTTTTTTTATAGTATGCGTTGTTTTTGTTGTTTCGACAGGCGATAATGCGCAGTCGAAGCGCGATTGGCACGACTCTGGCACGTTGATGTTAGCTTGTACCTACACGATGATGTTCTCCCAACACCTGGCAGACTTGGACTGGTTGACGCTGCTCGGTTTGCTGCTGGCAATGATCACAATTATCGCTATGCTAATTATATAACATGACGTAGAAATAACAATGTGTTAATTGTAACAACGAAATTCTTAAATAGAGATGTGTCAATTTACCAACCAATGTAAACTATTTCGGTTGAAGATAGGTCAGTTGTGTCGTAAAACTAAAGGAATGCCAGTATTAATACTAAAATTCAATACTCAATATTAATTAACAGACTTCAAAAAGGGGGCGTTGTAGTCGGTTTTTTCAAACGTAATTCATAAAAACATTATCTACTTATTTCTCTTCACCTTTATACAATTGGTTGACTCATTGATGCATCTCTATATATACACGCATTTATTTAATGGCTTAAAATAAATCACCAATCATTTAAAATTTTACCGTTGTAATAATAATAATTATCTGTATAAAAATAATGTAGCAACTGTATCATTATCATTTTCTAAATTGTAATTATTTTTAGAAAGTTTAGCTGTGATGTTTATAAAATTTTACTTTACCATAGTATATTTTAAATGATTTTAAACTTCATTTTTAATTTATGTGTAAATTCATTTTACGTTAGACCTTGTGTGCCAAAAACAACGATAGAAAAGTCGTTTTGGATTATTAAATGTTGAAAGTATGAAATCGCATGTATTTTAATAATATTTTTTGGTAGATTTGCATGTTCGATGTGTATTACCTTTTGTTGTGCTTAAAAAGTATGTTATTCAGCGATTTTACAATCTTTTTTTTTAAATTAGGTTTAGTGTTGTAGTTTAATCACGAGAGACTAATTATTTTTATTACTTACTATAATGTAAGGCCTTTTATAGTGTATTTGGCCTCTACTTACGTTAATACGCCCTTATATTTATTAGTTACCTATTTCCGATTTCATATTAGAAAAACGTAATTGAGCTGTAATGATCATTAATGTTAAACTGGGTCAACATAGCCTAAGGCCACAGGTAAAATAAGTTAATAAAAACATTATGCCTATAACATATAAGAATATTTTTATAACCCAGTGAAATTTTTTATCGAAAATAAATGATATTTTATGTAAGCAAAATCAATATTGTAAATTATACTTACTTAACCTAAGAATAAAACATGAAAAATAGTGTAAATAAGTAATTCAAGTCTCGAAAATTGGCGCGAAAATAAAAGTAAGGTCATTCTGTGTAGTCTATGGTGCAGTAACACACAATTTGTTTTCTAGGTGACCAATAATTGCCTGCAGTGATCCACAGGGTGGCTACGTTCTATTCAGCGTACTTCGATATTTTTAAGCTATTTTTAATTTTTATCTAAGCTACTTTCTGTATTTTATCCTGTACCTAGTTGTACGACATTTAAACTTTACTATGTTTATGTAGAGGCTTCCAGAAACATTTAAGAGAGCGTTATTTATATTAAAAAAGAGTTATAATTTAAATAAAATGTTTCAGTTTTATTTGTTGTTTTATTAGATACTTATCCCAAAATAAAATTGACAAATTAATTATCTATATAAAAATTAAATTATTCGATACTTACATACTACCTATTTAAAATATTCTGAAATACGTAAAATGATCTTGGTTCGATTCCCTGATCAGATTAATTAAGTGTCTAGTAAATACCTGTTGAATTTTCGATTTACCCCTGAAAATTTAGGCGGGAGCAGTCATTCGATGATTTTCCCCCCTTAAAAAAAAAAAAAACCCCTGAAAATTTGTACCTTGTGAATGATAATCGGTTAGATACCTTGCTAGGTAGTATACTAAAGTTTCTGCTACAATAGACTAGTGGTATTCGTTTGAAATGATTTTAAGCCATCGCTATCTATCTTCTTCTTGTGTAACTAACAACAATCTGAAGCAGCGCCATCTATTAGTTAGCACATTAACGAATTAGTCAAATAACCCGAATTATTGTTTCAAAATTGTAACAGATGGCACTGTTTAGCGTTTTAAATTTAGTTTGAGATTTCTATCAAAGATGGCGGTAGCTGCCTTTACAAAATAAGTATGCACTTTTTAAATATTTTAGTAACTGTTAATGGTAGATACTGTTAGAGAAATCATATTCAATTTATAATAAGATAACTACTTTATAATATATTATTTTATAATTAGGTTATCAAAAGTAAACTTCAAACCGGTTTCGTGGAAACAAGGAAGGAGAAACAAAAAAAATCTCAACTGTCACTACTGTCAGATTTTTCGCAAGAGAGTATCGTATGCGTGTTGTGAACATTATTTTGCAAAATAGGCTTTTATTATTTTTGATTAAAATTGTTATAACTAGTTTAATGTAGTAAGCTATTGCGAAATTTTAGTCGTTAGTGTTTACTCTTGTTATAAAGTGCCGTTGCACGTGTAAAATTCGTACGAGCGGTGGACTGCAACCTACTTTGTTCCTGTTGACCTGTGCTGCACTGTGATTGTTTTAAAAGGTAACGGTTACAATATTTACATTATTTTGTTTCTAAACTATAATAAAACATACTTCCCACAGTATGAGTTAACCTCGTTATCACAAAGATGGATATTTCTCGTGAATTTTAGTCAGTTTCTGATTGTTTTTCTCCGTTATTCTCGAGTTCGGTCTGTGTTATCGTCGACGTTTTGTTTTATTATTGTGTTATAGGCGACAATGTAATTTCCATAGCGTTATCTTATTACAAAATCTTTCCGTTACAAATTGTATATTCGAGAAATTTCGTTATGTTTCATTCATTTTTCGTGATTACTCACACATTTCAAATTGTATTGGTTATTAACACAATTTATTACTCTGCACATGTTTGGAATGGCGGTAAATGTTGAATACCCTGGAGTTTATGGACTGTAAACAGTAGTCTATTATTTAATATAGACTTTTACCCACTTATTGGTATTGTTTACAAAGATAATTCTAAACTTGTTTATTATACAATCTGACAACAGCTAACTACTTATATAAGAATAAAAGTACTTTAACATATGTAAGTACCTAAAATCTAAATTGTATGAAGTACTAGCCATATATAAAAATATATAGATATGTTTCCCCTAAACAGCAGATCTGTAACCTTCAAACTAATTACTGGTCAATTTAGAAGTGTTATCTATTAAAACAAATCCAATAACAACAACAAAACGAAATATCTTCAACAACAATATTGTTACAATTTATTTTAATGATTGTGTTAACAAAAACAAATTACTGAAGGTACAACATTGTCATAGTTTCACAAAATGTAATTCTAAACAAATAATTAAGGCAAGTTCCCTTTTGTTGGTGGACCATAAAGTTAAGTATAAAGGAAACTTGCCCTTTAATTGTTCCATGTTGGTAATTGATACTAATTAAGTGTTCTATGGATGTACTTTTCTCACTTACAATGTAGAATTTGAAGAATAAGCTTTGTAATAATGGTAGTAGTTAAGCAAGTTGTTTACTTCAGATCATCTATAAATGCCAGAGCCTATTTCACACTAGCTGATTTATGCTAACTTATGGATATAGGAAAAATATGGAACCACTTACTGACCTATTATAGAAAGCAAACCATTACCTACAAAATTACAGGATAAACTACAATATCAATAAATTAGCAATGGGCTTGTTTGCAGTAGTGCCGTAGTGTCCCCCCTCTCCAATCTCCCCAAACCCTGAATTCTCAATAATCTTCAAATTCTTAATCCCCAAAACACACTTGTAATGCCTCTTGTGTTCCAAATGTTCATGGCCGATTGCTTACCATAAGGTGATCTGGATTATCCCATAAAAAAAAAACTATGACAAATATAACAAATCCCAAAACCACACACAAACTAGCATGGTCTTCTCACTACAACCAGGACCAGTCATCTTTCCTACACACAACAACAACAAAAACAAATGACAAATTAGATGACACAACACCCAAGGTCACCATTCACTGGTCAGTTGAAGTGAGGAAATAATAAATCTCTACTACCTCTGGTTTGGACAAGGGACCCTACCGCTATATTTAGACACACAATTGACTTGTTACTCGGAGATCCTGTTACACAAGCTTCTGACAAGGAAATCCTTGTCCTTTCCTGGTACTTTAGTCTTCTTTGAGATAGTGAGGAATGTCTAGGTTTGTGTGGATTACTATTTTAAGTTATAGTAGTATTTCTATTAAGGGCGAGACATTTATTTACCCTAAACATTTAAAATAAGTGAGCAAAGAAACTTGCTAAAAAGAGTAAAGAGAGTTTTAAATATAGCATTAATAAGTTTGTTTGGATTTTTTAGTAAAATAAAGTTCAGATCTTAGTCTCAACAACTTATTGAATAATTAAAGTTTAAGCCTAAACATCTATATCTAATATGATTAATTACGCTGTTTATTTTACTAATCAAAGTAAAATAATGTACTTAGCCTAGGATTCCAGGACCTAAATATTCAACACTACTACCTAAAAGATAAAACAAATTCATTTATTTTCCACGAAACAGTTGCATTATTGTTATAATGATTAAATATAATCTATCACTGTCTACTCAAGTAGAAGGAAAAAGGTCCATGACTTCATTGGAAACGCTTGAAGATCACCCTTGTGATTGATAACAGGCTAATCTTATCAGAGTTTATTGAATCTAGCGTCTATCTAGACAAAATAATGATACCTATTGCATGTTGATTTGGAAATGTAGCACAGGAATGATAAACAATATGCAGTTATAGTTATTGTTAATTTAACCCTTTGAGTACCGTCATTATATGTCTATACATATATATGACACAATTAAAGAACAATTGGTTGCGGTCACCGGTGTCCTCACGGTTTGACAGTTTAATGATCCAACAGAATTTTTAACTGTAGAATAAAATGGACATTTAAAAAGTTCTTAGTAATTACCATGGAAGAATAGTCAAAATAATATTAAAAGTTATTTCTCTTATAAAATTTATCTGGCATTTCAAAAATAGGTCCTTAGTTTACGGTCAATGGATATAAGCTTCATGCAAAATAGTATCCTTCTCTCTCTTTACCTATCTACCAACAGATCGATTTTAAAGAGTCACCATTGGTTTGCCAACTAGATATAAA